ACTCAATACTCCCTACTCACTACTCACTACTCGCTACTCACCAATCACTGCCCACTACTCAGTACTGAATATTCTCTACCCACTACTCACTACGCCCTACTCGCTCCTGACTACCCACTACTCGCTACTCCCTACTCGCTACTCACTACTCACTACCCACTGCCACTACCCACTACTCTCTATTCATCCCTACTCACTACTCACTTCGCACTACGTACTGCTCAATACTCACTACGCACTACTCACTACTCACTACTCACTACTCGCTACTCACTACTCACTACCCACTATTCACTATTCACTACTCACTAATCACTGATCACTACTCACTACGCACTACGCACTACCCACTACTCACTACTCACTAATCACTACTCGCCACCCACTACTCACTACGCTACGCACTAACTCACTACCCACTACTCATTACTCCCTACTCCCTACTCAGTACTCGCTACTCGCTACTCGCTAGTCACTACTCACTACTCACTACTCGCCACTCACTACTCACTTATCAGTACACACTGCGCAATATTCACTACTCACTACTCCCTACTCCCTACTCGCCACTCACTACCCAGTACTGACTACCCAATACTCACTACTCACTACGCACTAACTCACTACTCACTACTCACCACTCGCTACTCCCAACTCCGTACCCCCTTCCAACGCCAAGGGGGGGAGGGGGAAGGGGTCCGCCTTCAAGGGAGGGGGGACGGGGGGTTCGGGACCCCTCCCCCTTAAGAGGCGGAGGGGGGGGGGGGTCCCCCCCCCCCCCCTTGCAGGGGGGGGGGGGGGGGGGGTTCTGGACCCCCCATCCTTAAGTGTATTCAGGGAGATCCACTGGCGCACTTTCCTACTTTTGGACTATTTTGGTAGTTTCCTCCTGTAGACGAACAGGCCCGACTCAAAACTACTGAGAGGTCTTCGTCGGGAAGATTGGGGAGAACTCAGTTTCATCGGGGGCGGAGGCTGTAGCGCCGGCTGGGCCGCGGATAAAACGAGATGAAGCGAACTCAGCGGGACTCGGCAGGACCAAATGGGATGAAGCCGGAGGGAGCCGGGCTTCGGACCAGGGCAAAGTTGAAGGGGCCCTGGGCTACGCAAATAAATACACACAAATAACAGGATTCCCCATATTAGTTCCCATATTTCCTGGGTTTTCGTCTTCCCCCCCACTCCCCATATTGTCCCATCTTTCCCCTGGGAATCGACGATGAATTGCGTCTGTGTTTTTCCTCCTCCTGAAAAGTCAGAGTCAGACCTCACAGGAGTTGCCCCCGAAGCCACCGACGCCGCCGAGCGGGGCCCCCGAGGGAAGCGAGCGGCGGAGAGAGCGGAGGACACCGCGCCGGCCCGCGGGCGCAGCGGAGGCAGCGAGTCCGGCGGCAGCCCGGACTGCAGCAAGAGCCGAGCCTGCTCGCAGTTGCCCGCCTGTACCTGCCCAGGACGGGGAGGGCGCCGCCGTCGCCGCCGCCGTCGTCGTCGACGTCGCCGTCGCCGCCGCCGCCGCCGCCGTCTTCGCCGTCGTCGTCGTCGTCGCCGTCGTCGTCGTCGTCGTCGCCGTCGTCGCCGTCGTCGTCGTCGTCGCCGTCGCCGTCGTCGTCGTCGTCGTCGTCGTCGTCGCCGTCGACGTCGTCGTCGTCGCCTTCCTCCCTCCCTCCTTCCCTCCATCCCTTCTCCCAATACCTCGAAATTATCTCGTTCCTCTCGGGCGCTGCAGAATGGGGGGCACAGAATGGGGGGTGAAGCAAGGGGGCCTCAAGGGGCCCCCTGGGTTCGAAGGGTGCACGCTGCCTCGCCCCGCATTGATCGCACCCCCCCAATTACCAACGCCCAGCCCTACTCTGGGGAAACCCAAAAGAATTGAAGGGGCCCTGGGACACGCAAATCAATACACACACACACAAATAACAGGATTCCCCATATTTTCCTATATTTTCAGGTTTTCGTCTTCCCCCCCCACTTCCCATATTTTCTCAGATTCTCTGAGGAATCGACGATTAGTAGTGTGTGGTGTGTGTGTGTGTGTGTGTGTGTGTCTGTGTGTGTGCGTGTGTCTCTGTCTGTGTGTGTGTGTCTGTGTCTGTGTCTGTGTCTGTGTCTGTGTCTGTGTCTGTGTCTGTGTCTGTGTGTGTGTTTTTCCCTCCTGCAGGATACCGCTACTCCACGGACCTCTCCCTGGGCGCATCCTGGCCAGGCTCTCGGGGCGCCTCCAGCGGTGGCGACGAGGGCCTCCCAGCGGAGGCCCTACAGGGCGAGCAACGCGGGAAGGGTGGCGGGCTCTGACTACCTACCATTTGGAGGCCCGAAACGGGTATGGAAAGAATGGGTACATTGCCCAACAGCAAGTGTTGTCCCAAACCAACAGCGGCCGCTGTTGGGCAGGCGGCCTTCTGTCTCGAGTGGACAAAGGCAGCGGTGGCGCGGACAGCGAGTCCTGTTCAAACTGAACAGGAACTGCTGTTGGGCATCGTACCCATTCTTTCCGTGCCCATCCCGTTCGTGCAGATACCAGACCACCCCAGCCCAACCCGAAGACCCCGAATCTGACCCGAATTTCGGGTTGGGGGGGGTACGGGTTCCATGTGTTTTCTCCGTGTTCCCCGACCCCCCCCCCACTCGGTGGCTTGGTAGGTGGCGGACTCGGCACGGCTGGACCCAGGGCAGAAGAAGAACGCCCTTCAAAAACCTGGGACCCTGCGCTGGCCAGACTGCAACGCATTCTCTCTAGGGTGCCCTCCCCCAGGATGCACAAGGACATCCAGCCAATGCGAAGAGCATCAAGGCACCCTCCCGGGACCGACATCGGTCTCGTGCCTCGGCCCGGCCGTGCCCGTTCCTCCCCCGACCAACTACCCCTCCTCGCTCCCGCGACCCCAGCGCCCGTCCAGCCTCAGGACCTGGGCGGCCACCAGGGCCATGGGTAGAGGGAAAAGAACTATGCACATGCACCGATTCTGGCCAGGCCCATCCTGAGCCCAGGATCGGTGCATACGCCCTCCTACCTTGGCCAGGAAGGCATATGCACCGATCCTGGGTCAAAAATGGGCCTTGCCAGGATCGGTGCATGTGCATAGTTCTCTTCGCCCGAATGGGGAGCAGGGAGGTCGGCTCGGGCGCTGCCAGAGCTGGGTTTAGTAGGACGTGGTTTCGTGATGTGTGCTGGGGGACGCCCCCCCCGCCGATTTCACTAACCGGACCTGCCGTCACCCGAAAAAACACCAGCTGCGGCAGACCTGGTTTGGTGATTCTAACAAATTTAGGGGCTCCAGGGCCCTCCTACTCACCGGGTCATGGCCTCAGTGGGCGCCAGAAACGGCAGGGCCGTTTTTTTTCACTGCTTCCGAAAAAAAGTCCCTTGAAAATGGAAACGGCAACAAAAACTGCGACCGGAAACGGCAACAAAAACGGCTCCAGGATTGGAACCAGAGCCAGAATCGGTCAAACAACAGCGAAACGGAACCGGCAACAAAAACGGCGTCGGAACCGGCAACAAAAACGGCAAAACGGAACCGGTAACAAAACTGCCCTGTCGTTTCCAGGGCCCGCTAAGGTACGCGCGCGCGTCTGCATGGGTCGAGGGGAATGGGGGGGGCGCGTGCTTCCACTGGTGGGCCTGTTTTCCAGCACCACCATAAGTTGGATGGAGGAATGAGGAGGACGACGAGGAGGAGGAGGAGGAGGAGGAGGAGGAGGGGGAGGAGGAGGAGGGGGAGGAGGAAGAGGAGGAGGAGGAGGAGGACCTCCTCCACAGGGCCCTACTACTAACCGGGTCCTGGCTATACCCGATCGGCATCCTCCCGGGGCCAAGAAGGAAGCTGCTCGCTGGCTCCAGAAGGAGCGCGGATCAAGGGGCCACCCGCTCGGCGCCCCCCTCCTGCAGGCAGGCGAGTCAAGGGGCCCAGGGACATACACAAATAAATACACACAAATAGCGAGATTACCATTTTTTCCCCATATTTTCTGGGTTTTCGTTTTCCCCCCCACTTCCCATATTTTCCCAGATGCTCCTGGGAATCGACGATTAATTGCGTCTGTGTGTTTTTTCCCCTCCTGAACGAAACCAGGACGATGACACAGAGGCCAGTCCACAAGAGACCTTCCACAAGAAACCAAGCCCTGAGACCCCAGCACACCCATCGATTGTTGGTGTGGGAACGTCACGCTGTCCATGGCAGAACCATCGAAACCCACGAAACCCAGGGCACCCTGGAGGCGAGCAGGTTGTTTCTTGGCGTTGGCCTCCACTGAAACATCGGGTGAAGATAAATCGAACATCTCTGAGACCCCGCGCCTCTGGAAGATAAATCGGGCGCCGCGGCCTTCTCCGAACGTATCGGGAAGCTTTGATGGCCTTCCGGAACGCTCTGAAACGGATTTATCCTCGCACGGAATTATCCTCTTGAGCAGGGACCCACCGTCCCGGCATTTCTATAGTCCCACCACGAACTTTTCTTAGAACCCCAAACTGTTCTAAGAACAAAAACCATGTTCTTAGAACGTAAGCCCGATGTGATAAAACAAGACAGTCCCGGCCAGAAATGGTTTGAGAACATTTCGTGGGAGCCACAAAGGGTGTTTGGTAGGGCTATAGGCGAGCCAGGACGCTTCGCCACTGCTTGATCCTCGTCCTTGCCCCGCCCGACCCCCCTCTTCGAGCCCCTCGTCCTCACGACTCGCTCTTCCTCGTCGCGCCACGGGGCGCCGATCGAGGGGGGGAAGCGAGAAGGAGCAGGCCTTCTCCAAGGCAGCGGGACTGCTCAGAAGCCCTCCGGCCATCCGACAGGTTGTCTGCTGTCTTGCTTTGGAGTCCCGAAACGGTGCGGTGACAGACCGTGCGGTGACCTCGAAATCCCCCAAGAGCCCCTCATGCCGCACGGTCCGTCCCCGCACGGTCTTGGGGCCTCGGATGCCCCGAAGGCCCTGAGACGTCCTCGGAGAGGGACCCGAGCCCCAAGACCGTGCGGTGACCCCGAATCCCCACCGACTCAGCGCACGGTGTGGTCACCACCCCGCCCGTGTGGCCAACACCCCCGCAAGTCCCGACCCTTTCCCCGGGAACGGTGCCTCATCCTGCACCGTTGCTTGACGCTCCTGGGGCCCGGCGAGGGCCCCCGGGGGCTGATGACTAGCGACAAACCGCGCCCGTCTTAATTTTTGTGTTCGACGCGACCCTGGCCGTCGCTCGGACGTCCATTCCCTGTGCTTTTTCGGTTTCGTGTGTGGTTTTTTCGCCAAATGCTCAAGGATGCTCCTCGATGGTCCTCGCCGAAGGACAAATGCACACGTCCGAGCGATGCCAAGGACCACGTCTGGGTGCCTCCTCCGCGGCGTGCGCCCTCCGCAGAGATGCCTACTGTCCGATGCCGCCGCGGCCCGGGGCTCCGCTCGGGTCGGGGCCCGGCCGCGCGCGGGCGGGGCAGCACCGCGAGCGTCCGCCTCCGTCGCTTGGGCGGCGCGCGCGCGCGTGCGGTGCTCCAAGCGGCACGTCCAGCTGGCCATCGCTCGGACGTCCATTCCATGTGTTTTTTTCGGTTTTGTGCGTGGTTTTTTCGCCAAATGATCAAGGATGCTCCTCGATGGTCCTCGCCGAAGGAAAAATGCACACGTCCGAGCGATGCCAAGCCAGGAGGCGCTTACGATCAGGTCGGGCGTGTCCTCCTACAGGCGGATCTTGGACGAAAAGTTCAACCACAATAAACAAGTAACCAGAGCTGCTCAGAAAAATTTAACAAATATTCCCCAGCCTATCTTCTTGACTATTTTGGAGTACTCCTCCTGTAGAGGGACACGCCCGACTTGAGCCTACGAGCGAGCGCGCAGTCGGCCCTGGGCCAGAATGGGGGGCGCGCAAATAACGTGGACGAGCGATGCGGGGATCTGGCGCGCGGTCGCCACCTCCGTGGATCGGGGGAGGTGCCGTCCCCCAAAAATGCGGTCAGTGCCGCCTCGTTCGGCGGCAAACATGAGCGATTCCCCGTGGGAGCGGGACAACGTCGACGTCGCTAATCCACGCCCCCTTGATCTGTGTTTGCGATCGCCTGGCAAGAGAACAGCCCTCAAAAGCACGAGACCCCCCGCCGGCCAAAGCAAACAGCACATCCGAGGGTACCCTCCCCGAGGATGCGCAAGCGCGCCCCGCAAACACGGAGAAAAACACTGAGAACATCAGGGCACTCTTTCCCAAAGCGACCTCGATCTTACACCTCGGTCCGAATGTGTACGAAGGGGCCCTGGGACGCACAGATCAATGCACACGCAAATGACAGGATTCCCCTCATCTTCCCATACCTTCTGGGTGTCTGTCTCCCCCCCACTGCCCATATTTTCTAATATTTTCCCGGGAATCGACGATGACTTTCGGGTCGGGCGAAAGGGGGGGATAGCAAAGGGGGGGGGTGAGAATCAGCTCACGTAGCTGACTTTCCCGGCGCCTCCCGGCGCCGGAGGCGGCTATGTATCAAGGAATGGGCCCCTCGGTGAGGCCGAAACCAGCTGCATGCAGCAAATTTCGTACCCCCCCTTTCCCAATCCCCCCCTTTCGCCCGGCCCGATAATACCTGTGTCTGTCTGTGTGTTTTGGCCCTCCTGAGTATACCCTGGGGCCTCTCGGCGCGCGCGTCGGCCGGCGCGCGCAGGGCATGCGCCCGGCTCTGCCGCCGAGAGAGAGACGACGGCGGGGCCCCGGCGGCAGGGCGCCGCCACGCGGAAGTGCCTCTTGACGGCGGCGCTGTCCTCGGGGGGCTCGGGCGGCGGGGGCGGGAACTTGCCGTCGCTCGGACGTCCATGTCCTGTGCATTTACTTGTTTCGTGCGTGCTTTTTGTTGCTCGATGGTCGAGGATGGTCCTCGATGGTTCTCGCCGAGGAACAAATTCACACGTCCGAGCGAGTCCAGGGGAAGGGGGGGGATCCGGTGAGGGGAGATGGGGCGGGAGAGAAAGGCGAGGAAGGCGGGGCGTGGGGGGGGGGGAGGGGAGGGGGTGGGGGCGAAGGTGGGGAGCGGGCCATCGATGCCCAAAAGCTTGCCGAAGAAGTGGAAAGGAAGGGGGGGAGGCCCTGGGGATGGACGAGGGAAGGTGAGGGAGGGGAGTGCTGAGGGGAGGGATCTGCATTATTTCTATCGGTTCACTTCCAGAAAAAAAAAAAGATCTGAAGAAGAACATCTGCTTTAAGAAAGTCTAGCTCGTCTGGGAATTGTGAGAGACGTTACCATTCGTTTTCAGACAGAAGATCCTTCGCACCTAACGTAGGGTATTTCGAGCTCGCTCGTCAAATTTGAGGAAGGCGGGGTGTGGAGGGGGGAGAGGGGGGAGGGGGGGGGGGGGAAAGGTGGGGACCGAAAACTGGAGGCCCAAAAGCTTGCCGAAGAGATGAGAAGGAAGGTTTTGTTTTACCCCTCGCAGGCACTCGACAGCATACCCCTGGAGCCCGAGGGAGAGAAAGGGGAGGTATCTGCATTATGTCTATCGGTTCACAGGAATAACATAGCTTTAAAGAATTTCTAGATATTCTTGGAATGATGAGAGACGTTACCATTCGTTTTCAGAAAGAGGATCCTTTGCACCTAACCTAGGGTATTTCGAGTTCGTTTGTGAAATTTTGAGGGAGAGTGGGGCGTGGAGGGGGTGGGGGACAGGGGGTGGAGGGGGGGAGGCGGGGAGCGGGTCCTGTAGGCCCAAAAACTTGACGAAGAAACGAGGAGGAAAGTGGGGAGGCACTGGGGATGGACGAAGGAAGGTTTGCGTCGGGCAGTCGGGCCTGTCCCCCTACAGGGGATCCTGGACGAGAAATTAAACATAGTCAAGCAATACCCAACACTATTCAAAAATGGTGGTCAAACAAATGGTCCCCAGACTATGTTTTAAAGCTATTTTGAATATCCCTCCTGTAGAGGTGTAGAGGGACAGGCCCGACTTCAAAGAAGGTGAGGGAGGGGGGGGGGGGCTGAGGGGGGTATCTCAATGGGGGGAGGGGATCGGTTCAGTCCATTCCTCGGCGAAGGAGAGCGCGGTAATACTCCTGCTTGCTTCGCTGGGCGGCATGCCAGCGTCAGGCTGCAAAGAGCTTGCTGGCTGGCACTGGCTGAAACTCCACACACACACAGTCACACACACACACACACACACACCTGCAACCCACACGGGGGGGGGGGAAACCCAACACGCTGGGGTGGCGGCCCGCAGCTAAAACCTAAACTCCGCCTTGGGAACACTAGTTGCCAGTTTACTCTGAGCTAGTTTAGAGTCAAGCGTGAGAAAAAATGGGGTCGCTGAGGGCCAACTGATGGCCAACTTTTTCCGGCCGTAAGGCAACGCATGGACGGACACATAACATAGGCTGTAAGAGATGAGCACCGACATGCTGCAAGCGAAAAACCGAACTCCCAAAAGGCACACGGAGAAGTGGGAGGGGACAGCCCCGGACGGCGGGAACGCAGAGGCCCATCCCACCGCCCAGAGGGGCGCCACGTCCATCACCCTTTCCCATGGTCCGCCCTTTTCCTTGCCTTTCCTACCATTTTCTGTTTGGAAAGTGGCCATGGTTTAGCTGTTGAAGCGATCCGACCTTGTCTATCAATGCTGGAGCCCTGCGCGAGGCTGGGGGGTCGCTTCTCTCGACGCCACTCCTGACTGCACCCGGGTTCTCAGGCGGCTTGCATGCGCCGTTTCCCCTCTGCGCTGAGCCGCCCTCGAGCTTGTCCGAGAGCGCCCTCGCGCCCCTCTCCAAGACCCCCCCCATCGGCACCGCCCCCCCTGCGATCTCCGCGACGCGCCGCGCGAGCTCGCGGCGCAGGACTCGCTCCAGGCCTGCCCCCGTCTGCGCAGAAGCGGCGATTGCCCACAGCAGCCTCCCGTGGCCCTCCGCGCGCTTGGATTTTTTTTTCTTCTTCTTCTTCTTCTTCTTCTTATGCTCCTTGCCCTGGGGGCACTTGCCCTGAAGTTGTTTACCTCATCCGCCATGACGCCCATGACGCGGTCCGCCCGGTGAAACTCTGCCTTCGCGCGGAACGCCCCTTTGAAATCGCCCCGCGCGCGCGCTGGGCGAGGACTGCCGAGCTGCGCCGCGCCCGCGGAATATTTTGACGAATTTTGAATATTGAACAGGGACCGACCGTCCCGGCATTCCTATAGTCATACCCCGAAATGTTCTTAGGACCAACAAATATTCTAAAAACAAAAACAATGTTCTTAGAACATAAGCCCGATGGGTTAAAACAAGACAGTCCCAGCCGGACATGGTCTGAGAACATTTCGTGGAGACCACAAAAGGTTCTTAGAACATGGCTTGGTAGGGCTATTAGGCGAGCCAGAACGCTTCGTCACTGCTTGAAAATGCCCGATTGAATCCTAGTCTCGTCCGGCCATGGACACCCTGGGCAACACTCCGCCCCCTTCGGGCCGCTGCCCCGCCGCCGCCCAAGCCGTGCCCCCGCCCCCGCCCAAACACGCCACCCCCCCGCTGTCGCCCGCCCGAACACGCCTTGCCCGACCCCCGCCCAAGCCTCCCACTCGTCGCACGCCCGAGCTCCGGGCACGGCCAAGCTGGGCACGAGATGCTCAGCAGCAGATGCTGTCCCCACCAGCAGCGGCCGCCACTGAGCAGACCACAATCTGTCTCGAGCGGAAACCGCCCACGGCGGCGCCGACGGCAGGCCCAATGGAAAATGAACAGGAGGTGCTGTCGGTCTTCGTCCCCTCGTGCGACTTCCGTGCGACTTTCGTCCTGGTGTGCGCGCTCCTTTCCTCCTCCTGCTCCTCCTCCTCCTCCGTCCTCCTCCTACTCCTCCTCCTCCTCTTCCTCCTCCTCCTCCTCCTCCTCCTCCTCCTCCTTTCTTCCTCCTCCTCCTCCGTGCGGCCTGTCCTCTTCCGCACGAATGGTTCGGTCGTGCCCATCCGTGTCCGGGCGGGCGGCGGAGGGGGGGGGGCCAAGGTCCGCTCCGCCGATCAGCGTGGGCAGGAAACGGCTCTTGTCCCGCCACTCGCCTGCGGACATCTTGGGGAACAGGGAACTGATGGGCCTGTTTCCCACCACCACCGCCACCATAAGTTGGAGGGGGAGGGGGTCCTTCTCCTCCTCCTCCTCCTCCTCCTCCTCCTCCTCCTCCTCCTCCTCCTCCTCCTCCTCCTCCTCCTCCTCCTCCTCTTCGTCCTCCTCGTTGTCCTCCTCCTCCTCGTCCTCCACCTCCTTCCCCCTCCAACCTATTGTGGTGGTGGAAAACAGTCCCATCAGAAAAGAGGGATGAAGGGATATGCAGACAGAGGGCGGGGGAGAAGAAGAAAAAGAGAGAGGGATAGAGAGAGAGAGGGCGAGAGAGAGAGAGGCAAAGGGCGAAAGACGGGAGCGTACACATAAGGTGGTATGTGTGCAGACAGACAGACAGGCAGACAGGCAGGCAGACAGACGGACGGACGGACGGACGGACGGACGGATAGACGGACTGACAGACAGACAGACGGACAGACAGACGGACAGGCAGACAGATAGACAGAAACGAAGGAAGAGAGAGAGAGATAGAGAGAGAGAGAGAGAGAAAAAAAAAAAACAAAGAGACCGATGCGGCTCCACCGCACCCCGCCCGGGCCCTGGCCTGGGCCCGCGCCCGGGTGCAAACGCCCCCCACGGCCTGGCCAGGGAGGCACGGGCAGCGACCCCGGGCCCGGCCTGGGGGCCGAGGACGGAGGAGCACGACGCAGACGACCCCGTGGCCCGACACCCTCCGAGGCCCGCGGCGAGGGCGCACGCCCGCGCGCGCTCGGCAGGCGGCGGGCAGACGCGCAGCTTGGGCGCGGGGGGGCCGAGGCCTCGGGCGGCCGCGGGCTCGGGGGCAGGCCTGCAGGCGCAGAGAGAGAGCAGTCTGCGCCAGCAGCGCAGGGCGGCCGCACCTCGTCGCCCCAGGCGCTCTGCCGCTCCGTGGGCACGCAGCACGCGCCTCCAGAGGCATCGGTAGGGGGCCACATGCGAACCCTACCCCTACCCCCTACGATTTCTGAGGGGGAGGGTGGGGTTCCCTTCGCTCGGGAGCTCCCGAACGAGGTGAACCCCACCCTCCCCCTCAGAAATATCGTGGGGGGTAGGGGTAGGGCTCGCATGTGGCCCCCTAATCGGGCGCACCGTTGCGAGGTGCGCCATGCCCGGGGCGCCAGCGGCAGGGCGGGCGGGCGCCGCGAGGCGGGCGGGGAGGCCCTGGGGCTCGACGCCGGCCCCTGCCGCGGCGCCGGAGGTCTGCGGAAGCAGCGCGCGGCGCCTCGCAGGCAGCCCCCGGGCCCTCCGCTGTTCTTGGGCGAGCCGTCGGGCGCGCGCGCCCGCGTGGGCGACGGCCGAGGACGGGTCCCGCGCGAGGTGCCGCGGCGACCTCGCGCGGCGACCCGCGCGGGCCGCTAGCGCCGCACGCCGCAGTGGAGACGACGGCGCCTGCGCGCGATCTTTTACGCGCTGGCAGCCTGCGCGCCCAAGTCGGCGCAGACGACTCCGCTTGCTCGCGTCGCCCGCGCGGTGCCCGTGGTCGCCTGCACGTGGCTTGGGCAGGGGAGCCTCGAGCACGCCGGCCGGAGCCAGAGGGCAGCGTGCGCGCTCCCGCTGGAAGCGACGGGGCGGTGGATGGGCCCCAGCAGCAGGAAGTCCTCCAGCATGCTGCCAGCACGTGCCCCCCAAGCCCGACGGCAGCCGTCGAGGCATGGACCAGCGACGCGCTGATTGGCCCTGGGCCCCCCCGTGCTGTGCAGACTCGGCGCGCCCCGCCGCCACATCGGGCGGTGCTGGCCTCAGGTATTTCGGGGGATGCCTTCCCGATCCGCGGGTCTGGCGCCCACGTGCCAATGCGAACCCTGCCCCTACCCCCTACGATTTCTGAGGGGGAGGGTGGGGTTCACTGCACTCGTGAGCTCGCGAACGAAGTGAACCCCACCCTCCCCCTCAGAAATCGAGGGGGGGTACCAGGGTAGGGGTAGTGTTCGCACGTGGCCCCCGAACGAATCCATGATCCATGTGATCGCATGTGCCCAAATCTGGAAGGACGCCCATCCCGGAGCCCTCCTCCTGCCTTCGGGCGGGTGGCCATGAGGGGTGACCTATATGGGGGGGTGAAGCGAAGGGCCCCTTTAGGGCCCTTCTGCTCACTAGGTCGCCCCCCCTTCCCATTCAGACGGGCCTGTCCCCTACAGGCCGATTTTAGACGAAAAATTAAACATAGTCAAAAGATACCCAACAATATTCAAACATGGTCAAAAAATCGCCCCCACATCATGTTTTGACTATTCTTGCATATTCCTCCTGTAGAGGGACAAGCCCGACTTAACTTTACCACCCGCCCGACCCTCTTCCCGCTCCCACCCCAGGATCGGGCGTTGGCAGAACTGGGTTTAGTGGAACCTGGTTTAGTGATCTGTACCGGGGGCGCCCCCCCCGTCCCATTTCCACTCACAGGAACTGCCGTCACCCGAAAAAAACACCAGCTATGGCAAACCTGGTTTAGGGATTCTGGCCAATCCGAAGGCTCCGGGGCCCTACCACTGACCGGGCCCCCTTACCCGGGGTCCTGGCCATACCCAACAGGAGTCGGGATAGAAGTCGCACCGACCGACACCGGCAGGCCCGCAGGCCTCCACGGAGACCCTGGAAGCCCGGCGCCGAGGCAGAACCCGCCGCCGCCGAAATCGAATCGGACTCGGAGGCATCGAGATGAGCCCTGCCTTAGGAGGCAACTGCTGGGAGGTGTTCGCCGGAAGGAGTAAGGAGGATGAAGTCCCGTTTGGGAGCTGCTACGCCGGAATGGGCCTCGGACGAAGCAGGATGAAGCCGGATTAAGCGGGATTGCGCGGAATTAAGCCGGGTTAAGCGGGATCAGGCCGGATTACGCCAGACTTCGGACAAGGGCAAAACCAGAATCTGACCTCCCAAGAGTTGCCTTCGAGGAGCCCTGTCCTGCTCCCACCCCGGCCCACCCCGCACGACGAAGCCAGGACGAGGCTCCATTCGGGTGGGGGCACATCGGGAACCTCTGAGCTCCGGCGCCTCTGGAGCGCCGCGGCCCTCTCGGCGCATTCCGGAACGCTCTGAGAGTGTTCCGGGACGCGCTGGAACGAATGCCTCCTCGTCCGAAACCCGTCCTGGAGAAGCAATTGGAGCGGCAACCCTCGGCCGGAATCCGCCACGCCTCTGCACCTCTGCCGGCCCCGCGGCCCGGCTCGAAACCTATAGGAAGGACCCGGAGAGGAAGCTGCAGGTGCAGCCCTCCCGTGCCGCATGGCCCCGCGGAGCACCAGCTCCAAGCCGTGCTGTCGCACAGTGGGCCTGGAGAGGAAGCTGCAGGCGCAGCCCTCCCCGTGCCGCATGGCCCCGCGGAGCATCAGATCCAAGCCGTGCTGTCGCACAGTGGGCAAGACCTCTTCAGCGAACCCGGCGGCATCGCTGAGAAGCCCAGCAGACGCTCGCGCCCACCGTGCTCTCAAGGGCTGTTGCGCCAGGAAGCCGGGCCCGCTCCCGGGGCTGAGGCGCCCCAGGAGTAGCATAAACTACTTCAAGCCTTCCTCGTCCCTCCCTCCTCCGTCCTCCTTCCCCTCCTCCTCCTCCTCCTCCTCCTCCTCCTCCTCGCCCTCCTCGCCCTTCTCCCCTTTTGCTGCACTGGGCACAGCCATTCTGGGAGCGACGGAATGGCGAGGCCCCCCGGGCCAAGACCGTGGCGACGAGGACCACGGATGCTCAAGTCGCTGGGCGGCGCCGAACCAGGAACCAGGAACGAAAGCCGAGTCCATCAATTCTGTGAAGGCGACCTACTCCTCCGCCTCCTCCTCCTCCTCTTCAATCCTGACTACTTATCCTCCTCCTCCTCCTCCGCCTCCTCCTCCTCCTCCTCCTCCTCCTCCTCCTCTTCCTCCTCCCCCAACCTCCTCCTCCTCTTCCTCCTCATCCTCCTCTTTCTCCTCCTCCTCCTCTTCCTCACTCCTGACTACTTTTCCTCCGCATCGACTGATTTTCCTTAAGATGGCTCCTCCCTGCCACACCCCGAGGCCAACCTGAAGGGCGGACCGTGCGTTTCGCCTGCGACTTCCTTACTAGTTATAACCCAGAAACTCAAAAGTGGGCAACAATTTCACGTAATGAGGGCGGGCCGCTTCCCACGTGTGGTTATCGCCTACGCGCCGCGTGCAATCGTCTTCAACATTTTGAAAAGTTACACGGACTGAGGGCGAACGGTTTTCAAATGTGGTTCTCGCCTTAGCGCCTCGCACATCCGCCTTAAACAAGTTTAACGATTAAGCTAATCGAGGGCGGTTCCTTTTCAACATGCTGTGGCTTTCGTCTGAGCGCCGCGCACATTCGCCTGAAACAGTTGCAAGCGTGTCGCAGATGTAGGGCGGTTCCTTTTCAACATGTGGCTCTTGCTCTAGCGCCGCGCACACTCGTCTTCAACATTTGCAAGGGTTTCACAGGTTCCCATGGCCAACATATCAGAGATTGTGTTTTGCAGCGGTTCTGGATTGTCATGGCGCAACAGTGTAAATAATTCGCGTAGCTGAAGTTCCAGGAATGGTGTCCTGGCACGGTTCAGGATCGTCAAGGCGCAACAATCAAGTTGGTGCGTGGCGCTGGTGTCCCGAGAATGGAGACTCGCTGATGAGTTTTAGGTTTGCACTGGTCTCCTCCCTCCTCCTCCTCCTCCTCCTCCTCCTCCTCCTCGTCCTCCACCTCCTCCTCTGCCTCTGGGAGCACTGCGAGACCGCACACGACGCACCAAAACTCACCAAATCTCGACAGAGCCGTGGTGTCCTCACCGCCCCCCCTTCCTGCTCCCTTTCTTCTTGCTCCACCGCCACCTCTGATGGGCCTGTTTTCCAGCACCACCACCATAAGTTGGAAGGTGGAAGGAGGTGGAGGATGAGGAGGAGGAAGAAGAAGAGGGGGAGGACCCCCTCCGCCCTCCAACTTGTGGTGGTGGTGGTGGAAAACAAGCCCATCAACCTCCTCCTCCTCCTCCGCCAATGTGCGCAGCTGCG